AGTATTAAAGCTGAAGAAGTCTATTGTTGAAGCTTGAACTACTAAGATTGCTGTGATAGAAGATGAAACTGTGCAGAACTCCACTAGCTATGCTGTCTTGGCCACATACTGTGCGTCTCATCCACATATAGCACCCCCAGCATGCACTGCAGCATCTGTTGCTTGGGCATCTACCCAGGATATAAATCATAGCAACTTGCAGCAGGTGCATAATGGCTATGATATAGCTCTTTTCAAACTGGCTTTTTTTTTTTCTTCAAAAAAATACCTAAGTAACTTAGCAGCCCAAATCCCAATGACTTTTAGGGCTTGTTTATAGGAACACTGAGTGTGTGGCAAGCTGGGATGTAAATCTACCCACTCTAGCTTGCCAGTACTAGGTGTCCATCTGGGCCATGCTGCCACACACTAGAAATTCCACAATGAACTTTACTCAACTCCCACTTAAACAGTGGGAACTGTGAGAATTCCATGGTGTGCTTTAATCCTGTTTTGAAATAGGAGTAGATTAATGCACACTGTGGAATTTTTACACGTAGCAGCAGGGTCCACACAGACACTTAGTGCTTGTGAGCTCATTCTACACCATACCCAAGGAATGATTATTCACGAGTGGTGGTTTTTAGGAACAAGGCTACCATTTGAAAGGGGATGTTGAGAGAAATAATGGATAAGTACTGAAGTTAAAGCATTCATTGTTTGCTTTTTTAGGAAAACCCTAAGCTTTTCCCGCTAAAACAGAGATGTTTAATATTCGGTGCTGAAAAGCTCATTGTCTGATACATTCTCCTCCTCTCCCTACCACCTGCTCTCTCATTTTACCTCAAGCTGTTCCTGAAATTTATAACTGCAAGCAGCTGCAGTACACCATTCTCAAGCATACATTTTACTGAGGCCTTAAGTCTGTACAAGGAAGTTCACCTGCTACTTACAATTGCTTTAACAATGTGTAGGCTTATAGCAGCATAAATCAATGGAGGGGAGTTGCAAAAGAATGGATTCTTGTAAAATTGGCTTTGGATTTTTGTTTATTTCTTCACAATGAATAAAAGAGGTCTGTATTAGCAGTGGTTTGTTTTTTAAACTTAAGTATCCCGAATGTCAAATTTGGTCTTGGTTGGTTTTGCTGATGCTCTTACACTTGTGTACTTCTCAGTTGAAAGGTTTCGCATTTTTAATAAGACATCTTTTCACCCAAGCATTCATGCGAGTTAAACACTGACTAAATATTCCCTCTCATCTCAGTTGCTCAGCTTTCAGTCTTTTATTGTGATGTTGTAATTTCACTAATTCTCTGGTTGCCCCAGAGTTCATAGCTAATTTGAATTTCTAACTGAGAATAGAAAAAAAAGTTGTAAATAAAGTTTTGAGTATTATTTATATTCAAGGGGGCAAAAAAGTGCACAAGCCCACTGTTCATTTAAAGGTCACCTTTAGAGTTTAAGGAAAGTAAAGCCCAGAAAAATACAGAACTGAGGTAATACATGCAAATTTTACAATTTTCTACTACAGACTAATGTTTACCAATGATTCTGCTTCCTTTGCCCTAGCTGTAAAACCCTGATGCTCTCACGAGTACTATTCTCCATCCAAGCTGTCATATTATTTAAAATAACTTGTTTATAAATTATCTACAGTTACTCCAGAGAGAAGAGAAGAAAGTATCATATGAAAAAGGAGACTGAAGAGTTTTCCCCATGACTCTGCTGTCTCACAATTCTGAACTTTAGTCTTTTAAAGCCAAAGTACAGTGACAAGCCCAGAAATCAAAAGGTCCCTGATACACAAGAGATGGTGGTAGTTAACTTACCAGGTTGTAAATTTTTAATTTCCCTAAAATTAGGAGCTTGCTTGAGAATAGAGTTCATTGCTATACAGTGCATTAGAGAAAATACCAAACTGTATCAATTAAGTTATCACAAAGCAGAAGAATCTATAGACTTTGAAAACAATTTGTGCTGTGGACATTAAAAAAGTTACAATAATTATTAAAAAAAATCTCTGAATAAAAAGTTTAACATCTAATTTCAAAATGATATTTCATATAATTTGGAAAAATATAACATTTACTTTACATAACTAAAAACAAGTTATATTCATTGTAGTTTGTAAGGTTCCATTCCTTATGCTTCCTTTCATATATTCTCTTTTAAAAATTTATTTTCTCTGGATTTTACACGTTTAACGCAAAAGCTTCACTATTCTGAAGAAAAGCTTGTTTCTTCATTAATTTCCTGAAAAGTCCATTTGGATTTGCAAGAAGTTCCTCATGTTTTCCACATTCAATAATTCTGCCTTGGTCAAGAACTGCAACAGAATCAGCATTCTGAATGGTAGACAGACGATGAGCAATAATTAGGACTGTCCTCCCTTCCATTAGCCGATCTAGAGCTTCTTGCACTAGATACTCATTTTCAGCATCCAAAGCACTAATTCAGAAGAAAAGAAAAAATAAGCATCAGTGTTCTCTAAAATCAATGTAGCCTGGTCTACAGTAGGCTTATTTCTCTAACCTCTCCCATCATTGCATTTCCAACAGAGTAACAATGGCGGAGATACTAGTGAAGATAAAGTGCTGGCAGCATTTTAAGCACCAAGTCATGTAGACTCATTGTGAGCTGAATTAGTTGGTTTGGTGCTTACAATACTGGCAACTGCCTAGAGCTCTCTGGGCTGCAGGTGAAATCCTGACTCCAATTAAGTCAGTAAAGCTCCAACTGACTTCAGTAGGGAAAAGATTTCACAGCAGAGCTCTTACATTTGCTACCATTAATGAAGCTGAGCCAATGGTGAGAAATGTTTAGTGAAAAAGTTTAGTGAAGACATTCCTGAGTACACATATTGCATCTCTCACATGTACACATCCTCTGAAATTTAACACTAACTTTCAAAAACAAGTGGCTGTAGCATACTTCTACCTATCCACGCAGGATTTAAAAACATTAATATTTTCATAATTCTTCAGTATTTTTCAAAAGTTGGAAAATATATCCATTTAATTGACCAGGGGGGAGGAAGGGGGAAGAGAGAAATGACTTGCCCAAGAGCATACATTGAAAGGAACAGAACTTAGGTCTCCAGAGTCCAAGCCTCCTAGTCTATTCGTAGGACATTTTCTAGCTTCACTGTATTTTATTCCTTACCTTGTTGCTTCATCTAGAAGAAGAATTTTAGGATTCTGAAGAAGAAAGTAAAATTATAATTAAAATCAAAGTTATATAAGACCTGAAGGAGACAAATTCTATTTATGAATACAAAAATTCACAAACAGGACTAAAACTACAAGCAAATTTATTTGCTTCATCAGACTTGAATATAACATGAGATTCAGTAGGTAATAAGTCTAGACTGGAAAAGAATACAATATAAATTAAATCACATAATTCTTCTTTTTTTTTACCTGCTACTGTTACTTTAACACCCAGCAATCACTGTAACAGATTTTTTTTCTATAATCTCATCTGCTTCAGTTTGCTTACTTGGGCAATTAGCAACACTTACGGATCAATTTCACTGTTTCGCCTGAATGTGAGAATCTTTCATGCTGGTTTACCTACATTTTGTTTCCAAGCAGTCCATTTCCTATTACATATGAGCACAACATTCATCGTGCACCTGGGAGACAGCAACTTCCTAGATGGCTGGAATGCTCCAAGCCACTGAGGATATGACTGCACAGCAAAAAACAAAACAAACAATTTGTGGCTGGCCAGCTTGGGTTGTGTGAGGCTGTTTCATCAATGCACAGGCTACTAAGCTTGGGCTGGAGCCTGAGTTCTGCCACCTCACAGGGTCCTGGACCCAGATTCCGGAAGTCTACAAGCAATGAAACATTACCTGTTTTTTCTTTGCTGAGTAGACATATCTCAAGTAGGGATGTCAAGGTGTAGTCGACTACATAATTAACCAATAAGCCTTGGCTTACTGATTAATCTCATTGACTACATATGCACTCCCTTCCCCCTTGCTGCCCTATATCAGAGGCAACAAGGGGGGGGAGGTGAAGCGGGAGCCAGTACCCATGAAGAGTTGGCTTTAAGCAGGCTCCCCATGAGCACCAGATCCACCTTCCTCCCACGCTGCTGGCTCTCTGCGTGTGCCAGCTCCACAGACATGACCTGCCCCTTCCTCACTGCCTCCTACAGAGGCAGCGAGGGGGAGGACAGGCAGGAGCCGGGGCCAGGCCCCCCAAGCCCCCGCCCCCTGGGGCTTCCTGCCCCCCCCCCTGCTGCCTCTGATAGATAGCCACGGACACAGCAGGGAGCTCAGACCCCCCCCACCCATGGATGGGGTTGCTGCTGGACCAGCCTCTGTCCATGGAGAGCTTGGACCTCTGCCGATAGGGACTATTTGCCACCCCCACTGCTGCCTCTGATAAAGAGGCAACAGCACGGGGTGGCAGGCAGCTAGTCTACATAGGGAGCTGTTTTTTAAACTGGCTCCCCTCGTGGACCAGCTCCCGCTTGCCACCCTGCACTGCAGTCTCTGACACACTGGCAGCAGTATGGGATGGCAGGGGACTCCCCAGGAGTGAGGCCAGGAGCACACTGGCTGCCAACCTCGCCCTGGGGACTATCAAATAGTTGTGTAACCAATAAGAACTCATGCGGTTACATGACTATTAAATTATACTATATCTAACATCCTTAATCTCTAGAGACCAAGAACACACACTGGAAATATAAAGAATGTACCATGAAATTGCCACAACATGTATTCCACAAATATACCAAAACCAGACTGAACAAGCAGAAGAAATTTAGTTAAAAACATACAAAAAGAATAATGCAGTTTGCATTTTCCCACTACATTCTTCCTCCATCCATCCCCTCCTCTGCCAGAGGTTGACCCTCCTTCTTGTATGTAGTTCAACTTCCTTAAGCAACACAAGCCTTGAAGGCAGGAATAGTCAATTATGTTTTGTCAAGTTCCAAATTTCTTGGCCAAAGTATAGTCAAGGTCCAGATTCCAGAAAAAACATAAAAAAAAAAAAAATAGTCACAGTCCACTCAAAAGCATCTGGCAATTGGGATTTGGCCCACGATCTGTCTATTGACTACTCCTAAATTTTAAGGGTATGTCTACACTGCAATTAAAAACCCACATCTGGCTCATGTCTGTGTGTAGGGCTTGGTCTCCAGGGCTGTCTAATTGCACTATAGACATTCTGTCTTAAGCTGGAGCATGAGCTCTAGAACCTTGTGATGATCCAGGAGCTCAGACTTCAGGTCAAGCAGGAACATCTGCATGACAATTAAAAAGTGGCGCAGTCCCGAGTCCCGCAAACCCGAGTCAGCTGGTACAGGCCAGCGACAGGTGTCTAACTGCAGTGCAGACATGCCCTAAGAAACACAATTTGTGATCATCTCCTAAAATGCTAAAAAGAAAAGGGAACAGCAAACAGACTATGTTAAGATGGAATCTATTAATTTGCTTCCAAATAATGTGGTGCTACTCATGTTGAAATCTATAGATGAAAATTACTGTATAGATAGGCATTAAAATGAAGGCCCCCTTCCTCTGGTCGACAATTATCAGAACTTGCAGGACAACAGAAAAAAAAAAGACTCTTCTGAAGACTGTCAACTCATCCCAAACTTCACTCTCTTTCATAGAAGGTAGGAAATCTCTATTCTTAATGACATCAAAGGATTTCCCCCCAAAAGACCACTGGGTTGTATTCTACTGAAACTCTGACAAACCCAGGTTTTTATCCACAGTGGCTAGCAGCAACATGAAATCTGGCTGGAAACAGATCAGGGCCTTGGAAGGAGTCGTGCAAAGACACTGACACTATATTCAAAGTGGAAGTTGTCCCTGGTGTGATGGGATGAGGTCACAGAAGACCCCTTGGGGTGCTCCCAGGGTTCTGACAAGGCCACTGCCACTCACCTCCTTGATCTCTGGGGCTTCTCAGTACCCTGTCCTGTTGGGCCAGCTCCCCGGTCTCCCACAGCCAAGGCACAGAGCTGAGATCACTGCCCCCCTGAGGTGCAGTACAGACACCAAAACCCTTCCAGTCCAAGGAAAATGCAGTTTTGGGCCCAGCTACCAAGTAAACCACTCCCCAAATGGGATCAGAACCCCAAATTAATTATTTAGGTAAGCCCCCTTTAGTAATGAAAGGAGGATGTACATGCTGATTGCTCCCCCAGGTAGCCATTATTTACACTGGGCTTGACAGTAAATACATTTATTTTATTAAGTACAAGCAGTAGGATTTAAGTGGTTATGCAAGTCAGAACAGGCAGAGCAAAGTAGATTACAAACTTAAAATAAAAGAAAACACTTAGCTAATTCTTACACTAAAACTTCAGTACAAACTTATTACAAACTCACCCTAAAATTGTTCTTATTCCAGTTAAGCCTCCAGACCAGGGAAGTCTTCTTTTCCCTGGGGTCCCTGGTTCACTTTTTTGGGTGTGCCACGCCAGACAAAGACTCTGCTGAACTTCTCACTGTTTTATAGAGTCCCACTTGTACATGGGAAGTAACCTGGCCAGTCCCTACCAGTTAGGAAAGTCACATGACTTCCTAGGACCAACCACTGCTAAGACTTAAAGGACCAAAGGGGTCTGTTTATATATGACTGCCCAGACATTGAGGCATCCCAGCATTGAAAACATCCTTGATGGCTTTAATTTGCACATTTAAAAACCATAAACCATTCCATACTCCATATCTCTAACTTTACACACAAGAAGGATACATACACCAAAATAAGATATTTAAACCCAACAGATTAAGACATTAAGATTGATAGATTACATGAGGCAATTTGTCCCAAGCATCTTTGAGTTATATATATTTGTGTTCATAAGTCCATTTCATACAGCATGGCTCTTGAGCAGGGCTTACTAAGGGTATGTCTACACAGCACCGGAATCTCGAAATACGATACACAACTTGCACTATGCAAATTGCGTAGCTTATTTCGAGTCTATTTCGAAATAGCTTATTTTGTCATTTGGCACTGCCTACACAGCACCAAATTTCAAAATACAGCGCTATTTCAAGCCATCTCTTACTCCTCATACAATGAAGTTTACAGGGAGAGCGAAAAAGCACGTCCGCTATATTTCAAAATAGAGGATGCATTCAAAAGATGCGGGGTAGCTATTTCAGGATACCTCTGGTATCCCAAAATAACTTTGCTGTGTAGACATACCCATGGGCTATGTCTATACTGCAGGCTTTTTGTGCAAGAAGCTTTTTGCGGAAGAGATCTTCTGCAAAAACTACTTGCACAAAAGCACATCCATGCCTTAAAAGTGCATCACAATAACGATGTGCTTTTGCACAAGAGTGTCCACACTGCATGGAAGCTCTTGCGCAAGAAAGCTCTGATGGCCATTCACAAAATGGCCACCAGAGCACCTGTCCTTTTTCTGATAGCCTCTTTTTGCACAATAAACCCCTGCGCAGCATCCACACCTGTCTTTTTGCACAAGAGCTATAGCACAAAAAGGAGGTATGCTTCATAAAAGGAGGCTTACCTACACTGCAAAAAGCCCTCTGTTCTGTCGATTGACTGTAGATTTTCTTGCATAAAAATGCGCTTGAGGTGTGGATGCTCCACGGGTTTTTGCACAAAAACACCATTTTTGTGCAAAAACATTGTAGTGTAGACGCAGCCCACGTGAATCATCCATGTTGGCCTAGAGTCTTCCTTGCAGAGTGGGCTCTAGACAGAGCCTGCCCACAGGATAAAGAATGCATCAGGCGTAAGAGAAATTAAAGAGAGGTACAACTTGAAATAAATATATTGCCTTGACCATATCCCTCATCCTCTTTCAACTCCCTCATCAATATACAGAATTTTTAATATTTCAAAAGATATTCTCTCCCCTGTCCAATGAAAGACTCAGCTACTTCTATTCCATCTTGAGAGAATTAAGGAAACAATAGCTACAGTAAACTTCCAATAATACAGCACCTTTAGGCCCAGAGGGTGCCAGATTATCAAATATGCTGGACTATCAGAAGGGAGGGGCTATGAGGGTCTGGGGTGCAGTGAGGGGATGCGCCCTTTGGCGCTAGGGTTGCTCTGCCCCCGGCTTCCTCGATTCAGCTGCTGGTCAGTTTCAGCAACCGCTGAATTAGGGAAGCCAGGCACAGAGCAGCTCCAATTGTCCGGATGCCCGGAGCACTTCTGGGTTCCTGATGGTGCCGGACCATCAGGAGTGCTGGACCATTGGATGCCGGACCACTGGAGTTTTACTGTAACTGTTTTTTAAGCTTACCTTCAGCAGCGCTCGAGCAATTGCAATTCGTTGTTTCTGTCCACCTAAGAAAAAAAGTTTTACTAAATTAAAGCAGAAGAAGTTATGATTGTAACTGAAGATCTAAACTGACTAACTAGATGTGAAATAATTTCTGCCACTTACTGAAACAGATTTTATGTTGGGGGAAAGAAGGGTTAAGTGATTAGGACAACAGTACTCCAACCAAAACTACCAATGGGTAAAGTAAGCAGCATAACATCTTTTTTGGGGGGGGGGGTGTGAGGGGAGAGGTGGGTAGGGGTTTGTTTTGGATCTACTGTGTCAATATCTCTTTTAAAAAATATATGTCCAAGTTATACCTGAAAGGAGAATGCCTTTTTCTCCAACTAACGTGTGGAATCCTTTTGGAAAGTCTCTGATAAAATTGGCAGCATTAGCTATTTCAGCAACTTTCTGGATTTCTTCAGCAGTTACCATAGAAGGGTCCTCAGCACCATAGGCAATATTTTCAGCAATAGAACAGGAGAACAGAATTGGTTCCTGATAAATGCAAAAACATAGCTCATATGTGCTATCTATAGTACATGTGTTTTCTTAGTAAATCCCAAATAATATAAGTCCCTTTTATAGGATCAGGTAGATGACAGAGTTTTAAGATGTAATGTTTTTAGGCTAATGAATAATACCCCACTTATTTTAACAATGAAGTAAAAGCTAAATCCACATTATAAAATTTGGGGAAAACTTTTCAAATGACAAACATTACACTATTGACTCTAATATTCCAAAAGGTGTTTGAGGCTGTTCATTCAGAACCCCCAACTTTCTAGGATAGCATGTATAATAGTCTTTGCATCTACAGCTCATCTCTTCTTCTTAAGTCTGCTTACATTTTGTGTACTGAAACAGCAAGAAAGTTTAAAAAGGCAAAGGAAATACCCCCAAGTCAAATGGTAGACAATGGAAAGAGGTTCAGGATAAGATAAGAATGCTCTCTGCATGAAATAGAAAGATTTCGTATTGTAATGTTTATTATCAGTAACTCAAAACTGGACAGAGTGAGATGTTTTTAAATCAAGAAAGGATAAATGTTGACATGCCTAAAAGGAAAAAGAGAGATTCTTCCAACATGAAGAATATTCAATGATACTGTCTTGCAATATAGATTTCTGGAATATGAAGTAAGTTTTGATTAGAAAAATAACTGGGCTGTGATATCCCAGTTAGCTAGCCAATCAATCATGGTATGAAGATTTTCTGTAAAAAAAATTGCATTACTTCCAACATTCAGTTGTCCCTTTAGAGTGGTGGATTAGAGGAAAAGTAAGCCCCAACAGTGTCATATGACCATGCCTTTATAATGTAAACAGCTGTGTACGCAATGAAACAAAAGGATTAGACAATAGAAGGTAAGTTTTCAAAGCAGCATGTAAGCACAAGATTGGGTAACTCTGATTAATATCAACGGGAGTCATGGAACTAGGCAGTCATGCATATCTATAACATTAGCCTCTGGAGGTCCTTTCTTGACTCTATTTGTAAGAGAGTCCCAAGAAAATCAAGTAACACGTGTTCTAAGTTTTGTAACCATATACTTTCCAGTCCTTTACACCAGTGTTTCTAAATGACTAGTCTGTGGATCAGCACTGGTTCCTAAGATCTCCCTGACACAGTTTTGGAAGGCCGCAGGCTGATCCTTGGTATCAAAAAGGTTGAGAAACACTGCTCTACACAAGAGGTATTTTACCAGCGATCGCTATCTTTCAGGAGCTACTTATCTAATCTATACAATCATACACTGAATCAGACCAAAGAACAAGCAGTTTGCGATTAATTGGGAATGTACTGTTTTAGAATATAGTATAACCTGACAGTGACTAATTAATGTTTAAGAGGGCAAGGAGTTTCTTCCTTTTCATGGGAAAGGGGCACAAACATCTAGTCTCCAGGGAGACTTCGGTATGGTCTACACTACATACACTTTATCAGTGTAACTATGTAGGTCATAGGTGTGAAAAATCCAAGCTCCTGAGTGTTGCAATTACATTGACAGCACTGTGCCAATGGGAGAGCTTTTCCCCATCAACATACCTACCGATGCCCAGGAAGGTGGATTTAGGGATGTGAATGGTTAACCAGTTAGCATGAGTCTTATCGGGTGATGTTTACCATTTATGGTTAACTGGCAGCCTGGACAGGCTGGAGCAGACCCCCGCCCAGGGATGGGGACAAGCTCGCCACGCCATCCTGCAGGCAGGGGTCCGCTCCAGCCCGCCCCCATTCAAGCAGTTAACCATAATGTTTAACCAATTAACTGATTAAATGGGATTTTACATCTCTAGGTGGATTAACTATACTGGCATAGAATGCCTTCATTAAAGCACTACTGCTGCATTAATGCAGTGTTTTAAATGTAGACTTGCCCATAGCATGCAACAATCTGGTAGGGGTTTGAATCTTCAGTGCAATACAAAATTATAATGTGCGGTAGCAGGGTTCACATGGCTAGTTAGTGCACGACAAAGTAGTATGCTGTAGATTCTTACACCAGTTTGCTGCACACTGAATCTCTATGTAAACAAGTCCCCAGCAGTACCAAATGAGAGAGACAGTAGTCATGGATCATAGATTTCTTTTTCCATGTATATATTCCCCTCTTCCTTACCTGACTTACTGTTCCAATTTTAGTCCTGAACCAGACTGGATTCAACTGACGGATATCAAAGCCATCGACAGTGATAGTACCTTAAATTAAGAAACACTGTTTCATACGGGATATAAGATACTGACAAAAGGCAGAAAGCAGTGCAGGAAAATAAAAAATTTTCATAAAAAATGCACTCTCTCCTACAAAGGGGGAAAACTTCAAGGGACATTTGTTTATCTTGTCCCTTTTTCAGGCACTCTATAATATGCAAGGCAAGATCACACTCACAGAAAGAAAGTAGGGATGTGGAGGGGGAGAAGAAGAGTTTCCACAGAGTTGCCCTGGGTGCAGGGGCCACCTACAGTGGCTGTCCTTGCACGGGCTGAAGGTTGGAACGGTTGGCTTCTTAGAGCAGGTGGGGAGGGAGCAGGGCCATGCCACACACAGAGCTTTCCTTATTTAAAACACTTGAAGCCTATTCTTCTCCCTCTCTTGAGGAAATGACTGGCTCAGGTTACTCCACAGATTAGTTTTTATTATCACATCAGTGTTACCCATGCTGCAATAACTGTGCCTACATGAAACAGACAGGACACTACAAAACTGCTGCATCAAACATCCAGTAATGCAAGGCCCTCTCACCTTTATAGGGGAGAGTGTTGCTTCTGCATAGCTTTCAGGCTTGGACATCAACTCTGAACCCCCCTGGTAATTTGTTTCATTAGATTCAGAATATTTACCATTTCTAAAGGCAGTTACAGTAAAATATAAACGTACCAGAGATGGGATCATACAGCCTCAACAGAAGAGATACAATGGTCGATTTGCCTGAGCCACTGGGGCCAACCATTGCCATAACAGAGCCAGCTGGAATAGAAAGACTGAAGTCTTGGAAAACTGAAATTTCTGGGCGGGTTGGATATGCAAAGTGGATCTCTTTGAATTCCAAAGCACCTTTGAACAGATCTTTGTTTAACACGATTCCATCTGAATGAAGAAGAATTCAAATACAGAGGAAGCTGAATGACAATAAAAATATACCAAACCTTTCACAATGGCAGTGCAGACTCCCATAAAACCTAATGACAACTACCGAGTCAACCAATATTTACCAAACTACAGCTCACATTATCAATTTACCAGGTACTTGGGTGCTATATCTTGTTATGCAAAACTGTAGTGGGTTCTCCATCATTTTTGAACATGTAACCCATGGAGGCTAAATCTCCCAGTGTACAATATTGCACTTTTGCCAACAAATGCAGTTTAATCTTTATTGATTATTCAGTGTGTTAGCTTCTCAGCCAAGCGGTCAGTGGAACAACTCTGCTTCCAGATTAGTGACTTGTTTGAATTCAATGAGCATTTTTCAGATGTTGAAAACAAAATAGAATAGTTGATTGAACTAACTGCACTCCACGGCAGAACAGTGTTCAACACAGACCAATAAATATAGCATCCTTTGGCAACAGCTCACTAACAACTGAAAGTTTTCAGTGTGTGAAATACCAGAACAAACTACTGAGAATATAAGGTCAAAGAAAAAGCGTCACCTTCTCTTTTTTGAAACAGCATTTAACTTGAACAAATATTTTAAAAGAAAATACTGGAGAAAACTTATAAATATATACAACTTAAAGGATCACAAGCTGTAACGGTCCTAGTAAATCCTATGAAATATATACAGAGTACACCAACTTTAAAACCCCTGCACAAAACCCTTACATTATTTGAGTTCACTGAGGATGGAAAATGAAGAGGGAGCTAGCAATAGGTGCAGCGAAAGTAATTTACTACAGTTATACTATTGATGGGTATAACTAGGGCCCTACCATATTAAAGTCCAAGAAAAAGTGTCACATTCCGTGAAATCTCGTCTCCCTCCATGAAATCTGGACTTTTATGTGCTCTTAGTCTACAGATTTCTCAGGGGAGAGCAACGTTTCTCAAACTGGGGGGAGGGAGGAAGTCCTGACTCAAAAGAGGGTTGGGGGGGGGGGCAGGGGAAGAGGCCTCGTGGTATTGCCACCCTAACTTCTGTTAGAGCTGGGAGGCCAGAAAAGGCCTAACTCTGCAGCCAGCAGTGCAGAACTAGGGATGACATTACCATACCATGTCATCCTTACTTCTGCACTGCTGCCGACGATGGTTCTGCCTTCAGAAATGAGCTCTCAACCAGCAGCCGCCACTCTCTACCCATCCAGCTATGAAGGCACCTCTGCCACCAGCAGCTGCGCACAAGTAAGGATAACGGTACTGCAAGCCTTCCTACAATAATCTTGTGATCTTCCCTCCCTCCCACAACTCCTTTTTCAGTCAAGACCCCTACAATTAAAACACAATAAAATTTCAGATTAAACTTGTAAGCAGGTAGCCAGACAAGAGCCAGGGTGAGTATAGTAATAAATGATCATCTGTAGCAAGTTTAACTGCATTTGTAATGCTTCTTTGTTTCACTTTCTATTCCCCTAAAATTTCTTCCTCTTTCCCATTCTATTATCTTCATTTAATTAAACTCTAGTTGCTCCATCAACAGCAGCTGCATATGGAGTCAAACTGCTTCTCCAACATTAAGCCACAAAGATACTAATATTAAGTTGCGTGATTAATGTATAAATTTTATTAAGAGTTCATTTAAAGATGCATTTTCTCCACAGCAATTTAACAACATTAAGTTATTTAATACAATTGTTACTGTATCAGTAAAAATTCTCTCCTTGATTCCGGTTATTCTGGAATGCCTGCCATAAACTGAACAGTAGTGCTTCAATAATTCAGGAAGTCTGATGCAACAAATCCTTCCTTTATTTTTATCGCAATATATGGTGAAAATATCAAAGCTATACACAGAATTTTATGTTTTATAATATCTGCAACCCAAGGTCTAATATTAAAGTGTTTGGTCTGAAACTGTAAACTCCCACCATCAGGGGAAAATGTTTCCAAGTGTGAAATACTAGTTTACCACAGCCGATGTCATCTCCTCCACCAAAAAAGAAGGCCCATGGATACCAGATAAACATTGTGGAACATCAGAGGATGGAAAAAAAAAAAAAGTTGATTAATCTCCCTTCCACCCTCTGCCACACACCCGTGAAGAGGGGACACGCGTGGTGACATGTCCCAGCATCTTGATCTCTGAGGCAAGGGAATAAAAATCCCCGGAAAGGAAGAAATTGCATCTCTATGCTGCTCGGATTTGGAAACACAGGATTTCTAAGCATGAGCAAGGGATCACTAGTGCTTGGCATAGGTTAATCCTAGAGGATTTATAGAATTTGTATATTACAGCAGCTTCTATTGCCTTTTGGAGCCTAAGACTATAATTAATTTCTGTGTGTATGTTTACTTGCTTTACTCTTGTAAAGAACTCTCACTTTTTTCTTAGTTAATATATCTTTAGTTAATTTATTGTAGGATGGGCTACAAGCATTGTCTTTGGTTATGTACTGTGGAATCTAAAGTGCAATTGATCTGAGGTAAGTGACTGGTCCTTTGGGAGTGAGATTTATTGATTTGCTTGATTATTATTGTGATTTTTCATGTAAAAGATAATCTATCACAATGGCTATATTACTTAGGTGGCACGAAAGATCAGAGTACCCAAGGAGATGAACTACTGTTGTAGTGTAGAGCTCACACTAGATACTTGGTTGGTGAAATGTAAATATAGAACTTTTGAGGTGTGTGCCCTGCAGCTTTACCCATTAGGCTGGTACTTTTTTCGAGCCGCTCCAGATACTTTGACAGTAGCCAAGAAAGATTTCCACTGAGTCTAGCTTCTTTTAAAGCTGGTGTTCATTTTGAGTAATATCATTCTCTTGTTAAATGCTTGGTAACCAGCCAGAGACAACACTAATGCAAAAATGGTAATGAAACAAGAACCCACCATTAAATGGAAGTTCTGGCTTCCTCTCGATAAGTTCCCACAGACGTCCTCCAGCTCCTAATCCCTTCATAAGCTCAGAATAGAAAGAGCTCAAACCTAAAACCAAACAATGATATGCATCACTCAGGAACATGAAAGACAATCTATTAGAGAACATAACCCAGTTTTTAGAACTCACAAGCAAAATTCTGAGTATCATGGGAAACATAAAGACACACTTAGTAAAGGTGCCCAGTGAAAGATAAAGTATGTAATTATATATCTCACTGCCTTTCCAGAAACACTGAGTCAGTATTGGTTTTCAAACTAACAAGGCACAATCATGTATCGGAAGCAACAGACTCACTTTAAAAACAACTCTTCTAAGCAGTTGACAAACTATTTGAAATACCTTATCTTCCTTCGGGCCTGTGTGCAATACTGATGATTGTTCCCTAAAGAAGAGCAGTTAGTCTGTGGGTCAAGAGATTACAGATTCTGATCTTCACAGATAGGGGAAGAGGAGCAAAGGAGGAAAGAAAAGAGATGGCCTTTTCTGCCTTTGCACTACTAGAAGGTAATCCCCCACAACATTCTTCTGCTGACACTTAAAAATCCAATGCAGCTTTAGACAATTATCCATTTGGAATTACATCTTATTCCTACATGCCTTTCTTTGTAAAATCATTTCTCTGAACAGAGACCAAAACATGTTATTCCAGAGAAAAACCTTAATATTTGTTTAAATTATAAGCACATCACAGGCTACAAAAATAACATCTTAAAGGAAAATTAATAGTATAAACAGACACTGAAGAAATGCACTTTGAAAAATTTAACCATTGTACTCTCTTGGAAGTTAGCTTGAAACTATTTGGTCTTAATGAATTAAAAGCCATTAACATGGATTGAACCTTACTGGAAAATATTTCTGAATCATCACAGAAAAAAATTCTGTATTAGTAAGCTCTATTGGTCAACTGGAAACATTTAAAGAATTACAAAACACTTGAGAGTTTCTTCTGTTTATAAAACCAATATGTTTTTCCTTCGTTCAAAAAAAGTCTCTAACCTATGTTTTAGGTTGAGTAATTCACATTCCATACCTCCAATGCTAATTCCAACCCAGAATGCATACATCAAGAAGGAAGAGAGTTCACCAATAGTCATTTGGGTACTACCCATCAATAATCCTCCTTTGTACAGAACAGAAAGGACAATCATGTTCCCAGAAAGCCCAGTCTGGGAAAGAGAGAAAAAAAAGATAATGAAGAAAAACCTGGATCTTCCTGTATAAATTGAGATTACATCTTATAAAATACTGTAAGTAAAGGCTTAAAAACCTATTCCCATAATAAGTGGACCTTCATATAATCTTAAAATTTTACAGGACTGCATTTTGCTTAAGTTTAGTTTCCTAACTTTTCTTTGTTTCTTAGAATGAGAAACCCATAATCAGTGTGGTGATCCAATAGCAATGCAAAATGCTACTGTACAGGGGTTTGGAATGCAGGTGCTTGAAGATCAGCAAAGGACAGTTTTGAATCATTACCAATTCATCTCTTCCCCCACTCAGGAACAGCTGTGATGGACTCTAGAAGAAATTATGCAGTGCCTTCAACAATTATTAGATATAAGATGGCCTAACCCAAGTGAAACCCCAAAATAAGACTCACTCCCCTCTCTCCCTCCTCCAGTTAAAATATAAAAACAAAAAAATGAGCCACCTTTTCCAGCTAAAACAAAGGGCCCATGGCAGTAGAAATGTATTCAGGAGGAATCTGATAAAACACAAGCACTTCTCTCGCTGCTGGGGGACACAATGACCAGTGTGGGCCTAAGAGTTGTACATGGCTAAGACAACCCTAGGCTGAGCTACTTCAGGGCATCACCTGCACCATTCTCTCTGGCAGGATACCTAAGGAGTCTCCAAACATAATTTAGAAATATGGTCCCCTAAGCAAAAACCTGAGGGAGGGTGGCAGCATATACATCACCAGTCCTACCCAAACTTGAATATGTTGTGAGACAGAGGTCTCTGCTGGTGCAGGGAGGTGTAAACTACAGGTGTGAATTAAGCCTCATGACTTTGCAAGTGCAGTAGAATTTGGTAGTCAGCTCCCTGCTTCACCGAGTGATACAAAGAGGAAAAGCACTAAAAGAATTAATTGTTCTTACACTTTTATGGGAATCCATTTGACAGTAAATTGATTTGTATGTGTACATCCAAGAGTTTGAAAGCACCCTTGTGTATTGAAAGGATCATAGGCTGCCAGGGCTCGATCATATTCTGTGCATTCTTCACTTATACCATAAAATACTTACCGCACCAAAAAAGCCTGCTCGAGCTAATGCCTCTCTTTTAGCTAACTGCAGCACATAGTCAACTTTGCTTATATACTTGTCCATTTCGGTCATCTCCTGCCCAAAAGCTCGAACAGTTCTTATGTTTCCAATACGTTCTTCAGCTAACTATATTAAAGTAAAAAAACAAAACACACACCGATTCACTTGGTAGGTTCATGTTCTGGAATACCTGAAAGTAAAAATCAATACAACTATCCTAGTCTGACTACCACTGACAATTTTGCCCTTCCTTCACTTCTGTTTTTTAATTCCATTAAGCTGGAAACAGATACAGTAAAACGCCAATAGTCCGGCATCCAATTGTATGGCACTCCTGATAGTCCGGCATCAAAATGGCAAGAGCCTAGTGAGTGAGCTTTGGCAAAAAACGAGACAAGACAACAGCGGCAGCAGCTGAACCGAGTATTTGATCTGAGGAAGTGGGTCTGGCCCACGAAAGCTCATCATCTAATAAACCATCTTGTTAGTCTTTAAAGTGCTACATTGTCCTGCATTTTGCTATATATATATATATATATATATAAAACCAGCTTATAATACCTCCTGATAGTCCGGCATATCCGATAATCCGGCACCACCTAGGTCCCAAAGGTTCCGGATTATTGGAAGTCTACTGTAGTATGAAAATTAAAATTTCAAAACTGGTTTAGCTTGAGTATTAGTATGAGAGGATTGTGCCAAGTGATTAGAAAAAAAGAGTTTAAAGTTTATTTATCATTATCTGTAATTGTGACAAAAGTGAGGGTGTTAGATGGAAATCAAAACGAGCAGTCACAAGGGTAAAATGTCTACCAGCGGCATGGAGAGTACTTAAAAAACATCGTATCATAGAGGCTCAGACTAAATGTATACTCCATATAAAAAAAGACAGCAGGAAGATCAAAAGAATGCCACCATGGCTAAACCACAGCACAAAGGAGGCTTCTGGGGTAAAGAGATATCCTTTAAAATGTGGGAGTCAAATCCTAAGTAGTAAAAATATAAGGCAGACCAAAAAAGAATTTGAGAAGAAACTTGCTTAGGGTAAAAAAATATATATTACTATTTGTTTTTGCAAGCATATCAGAAGCAGAAAGCCTTCTAAAAAAGCAGTGGAGTCACTCTATGACAAACATGGTAAAAGAGCTCTCAAAGACGACAACCGTGACAAAAAAGCCAAATAAATTATTTGCATTAATCTTTTCTGCAGAGGATGGGGGCCAAATCCCACATTAGCACTATAATTCTTTTTGGGTGATGAAATACTGTCCCAAATCAATGTGTCCACTGTAATGTCAATTTTTTAAAAAGGCTTCAGCGTCGATCCTGGCAATTACAAGCCAGTGAGCCTTCCTTCAGTACCAGGTAAATTGGTAGGAACTGTACTAATAAACAGAATTATCAGAGACAGACAGAAAAACAGAGTTTGTTGGGAAAGAATCAACGTGGTTCTTCTACAGGGAAGTCATCATGCCTCACCAATCTATTAAGAATTCTTTGAGGCTGTCAACAAGTATGTGCATAAGGGTGATCCAGTAGATAACATGTACCATACCTAGATTTTCAGAAAGTCATTGATAAGGTCCCTGTCCACAGGCTCATAAGGAAACTAAATAGCTATAGGATAACTGAGAAGGTCCTCTCATGGGTCAGTAACTGATTTAAGGATAAAAAACAAAGGGTAGGAATAAATGGTCAGTGCTCACAATAGGGAGAAGTGAACAATGAAGTCCCTCAAAAACCTGTGCTGTTCAATATATGCATTAATGATACAAAGAAGGGGTGAATAATTAAGTGACAAAGTTTGCAGACAATATAGGAATCGCAAGATAATTAAGTCCAAAGTAAACTGCAAAAAGTTATGAAGGATCCTCACAAAACTGGGGAAATAAGGATCAACATGACAGATGAAATTCAACGTAGATAAGCGCAAAGCAACGTGGACTGGAAAAAATAATGCCACCTATACACACAAAATGATGGGGTCTAAATTAACTGAATAGGGAAAGGCCATTTACTTTTACACAAAACTTAATTGGGTCAGCCCTGCTTTTTGTACAGTATTAACAGGCAGCAGATTTAGTACAAACGACAGGAAGTACCTTTTCCATACAATGCACAACCAAACTGTGGAACTCCTTGTCATGGGATGTTGTGATGGCCAAAAGTATAACTGGGTTCAAAAAAGAATTGGATAAGTTCATGGAAAATAGGTCTGTCCATGGCTATTAGCCAAGAAGGGC